ACACACACACACACACACACACACACACACACACACCTTCTATTTCGTATCCAGTTTCACGGTTGTTTACCACACCAGCCAATTGGAACACAAAGGGGGTTCAGGCAGGACACAAGAGCCTAAAATGTTCTTCCCAGCCTAGCACATCTAACACCCGATCCCATTAAATGGGATCAAGTACCAGTGAGCTAACATTCATAGAGTTCAACACTGTGCAGAGACTGGGGAGTTGCCCTCAGTGTGCTAACCACTGTGACTACTGGGGTACAGGTCAGGGGGATGGTTAAGATGGCAATCTGGCCTGGGGGAAGGATCTCAGGGACACAGGATCGTCACAACAATGGGGGCCTTGGGGTTCCCTAGTGCAGGGCCAGCAGAGTGCAGACCTGGGGCCAGAGAAGAGAAAGACAAACAGAAGAGCCAGCAGCAGGCCCGATTTCCTAAACCTTCCCCCCACCCCGTTCACCGAGTGCCACCCGCCCACTCTGCCAGACGGAGAAAAGGAACAGCATGGCCTCTGTGCTGCTGTCCACCAGCCGTGCCCACCCCCAAAGAGCAATTTCACAGTGTGATGTCCATAGGAGTTGGTTCCCTGAGGCCCAAGATCACAAACATGATTTGCCAAGAGAATCTGGCAAAGAGGACCAACGGAGAATGTTGGCTAAGTTTCCCTATTCCCCACCCACCCACCCACCCCAGCTCACCCCTGCTTCCGCCCTTGGCAGAGGCAAAAGGCCACTTCCCAAGCATAGGTCTCCCCCAGCGCGCAGGGCATTAGTCACTTCCGCCACCAACACAGAAAATACGAATTGAAGTCGGTCGTGGCAGTGCGCACCTGTAATCCCAGCACTCAGAAGGCTGAGGCTAGCCTGGGCTACACAACCGGTTCTAACCAGACTACACTACAAAGACCCTGTCCAAAAAAAAATGGGGAGAGGGAAGAGGCAAAGGAAGAGAATCATAAAGTGCCCCCAATACACAAGCACTTCACTTACAAAAAGAACCCTTCATTTCTCCTGGTCCCTGCAGCTTAAGAGAAAACCCGTTAGGATTTTCATCTTCTCTGGGCCGTTGCCGCATGCTGGGGATCTCCAGTCCTTAGGGCTAAGGGCAGGGAGTCCTCATCTGTGTCTATGGAACCCACATGAACATTCTAACACACACGGCTACTTGGAAGACCCCAGACTAGGGATGTCTAAACCTGGAGTTTCTCCCTCTCCTCTTCCCGTCCTCCTCCTGCCTTCCTCCCCTCCTCCTCCCCTCCTTCTCCCTCCCCTCCTCCTCTCCTCCCCTCTTCCTCCCCTCCTCTTCTCACCCTCTGGCCTGGCCTGTCTCTCCAAAGTCTGTTCTCTCCTTGCCTCTGAGTTTTTCCAGCCAGCCCACAAGTCTGAAACCACAGAAAAAAGTTGTCTTCTCTCCCACTTACCCACTCCCCAGGGGCCTCTCAGACCCGCCCTCCTCTGCCCACATCCTGGAGTGTGCCCACACTGGAGCGAGCCCCCTGCTGAGGCCAGCAGCCTTCCTCTAGGCCCCTGCTCTTGGCTTTGCTTCTCCAGTCCTCCCTGTTAGAGTCCCAGTGTATCCCCACACCCTGGAAACAAAGGCACACGCCTTACCCTGGCCCACAAGACCCCCAGTGACCCAGGAGGCTCCACCTGGCTCTAACCCTGGCCCTGGCCCTCCTGGCTTCCTCTCTCACAGGCCGCTCCAGTCCCTCCATGAGTGCCTGTGAGTCACTGAACAAGCCACTCGGCAGACGCACCGCTTGGTGATGCTTTCGTCCCACAAACATTGTTGGCAGCTGCCTCCAACCCTAACCGTCTGAGCTCAACCCTACATCCCTCTCTCAGGGCAGCCCTCCCTGATCCAGCTCAGAGGATGTACAGAGCCTAGGCAGGGGAATGCCATGGTTAGATGGACACATCTGGAATCACAACACTTGGACAGACGGACAGACCTCTCTAGGCCTCGGTTTCAGCCATTGTATAACAGAAGTGAAGTTCTCCATTGGCTGGAGGAGGCAGTGAGGGCCTAAAGCAGTGTCTGCCACACTTTCAGTTCTCAGGACGGGAGCCTGTCACACACACACACACACACACACACACACACACACACACACACACACACACCCATGGTGCCCCATAGGTACCTTTCTGTAAGAACATTTCATCTTGGCTCTGTTACTGTCTGATGACATATATGTCCCTCACCAGGACATAGTTCTGTAAAGATGGGGCCAGGCTTGTTTTCATGCATCCGGGAACTGGGCACAGGGGTGGCACTCCCACCAGGCACGAGCTAAGAACTCTCCATCTCAGACAACCACCCCTGTCTCACTGTGGTATGCACTGTCAACCAGAAGGGCCCAGCCACAGCCACCAGGCAGAATCCCACCCACCAAGGCCAGGTTCCAAGGGCTGGTGTGAGCTTTTAAATGGCAGACGCTGAAAGGCACACCATTCTCACAGTAAAAGAGTCATAGCTGGCTGTCTGGCCGTCTTGAGTCCCTTTGCATCAGGGCAGTCTCCTCTGATGATGAACACAGGCATGCTGTGGGCAGAAAGAGCCATGTCCTTGGAGAAGGGGGACAGAGTCCTCCCTCTGTATCCATATGAAAAGGGCAGAATCATCTATGTAACAATTCACAGTGCAGATGGAGCCAGAGTCCAGTTCTGCCCACCTCCCAGCTCCCTCCTAAGCTCCTGGGAGAGCCATGGTACTGTTCTGGATTAGAAACCCTGCTCACTGGGCGGTGGTGGCACATGTCTTTAATCCCAGTGCTCAGGAGACAGAGAGAGCCAGGAGGATCACTTTGAGGTCTAGGCCAGCCTGGTCTACACAGTGAGTTCCAGGACAGCCAGGGCGGTCACACAGAGAAACCCTGTCTCAGGAAAAGGAAGGAAGGGAGGGAGAGAGGGAGGGAGGGAGGGAGGGAGGGAGGGAGGGAGGGAGGAAGAGGAGGAAGAGAAGCTGTCCCGTAGCTAGCATGGCAATGCATACCTATAACCCCTGTACTTGAGACTGAGGTGGGAAGATCCCTGGTTCAAGGCCAGCCTCGGCTACATAGTGAGAGCCTGGAGAGAGAGAGAGAGAGAGAGAGAGAGAGAGAGAGAGAGAGAGAGAGAGAGAGAGACAGAGAGAGAGAGACAGAGAGAGAGAGACAGAGAGAGAGAGACAGAGAGAGAGACAGAGAGAGAGACACAGAGAGAGAGACAGAGAGACAGAGAGAGAGAGACAGAGAGAGAGAGACAGAGAGAGACAGAGACAGAGAGAGACAGAGACAGAGAGAGACAGAGAGACAGAGAGAGAGAGACAGAGAGAGAGACAGAGATCCTCAGTCTTTGGCCACCCAAAGGGACAAGAACAGGGACATACCTGGCATCTTCACCCCCAAACTATACCATAACCAATCCCTGGGCTTGGTTCAAAGGACCCATGGCTTACTGGCCCCAACTTCCTTAGAAGCCACTGAGGGGGCCGTAGAGCCCCCAGGGCCTGGTGGCTCAGGTCTCACACCCAAGCACTCAGAAAGCTGAGGCAGACGGATCATAAATTCAGTGGGCTGCAGAGCGAGTTCAAGGACAATCTAGACCCTGTCTGGAAAGGAAAAGGAGAGCTGAGGGTGCAGATCAGTGGTAGGGTACTTCCTTAGGATGTGGGGGGCCTTGGGTTCCATCTACAGCACTCAGGGAGGGGGGCGGGGGGAGGTAGCCACAGGGGAGGCAGCCACAGCATCTAAGCAGGCATCTTCTCCTTGGCCTTCAGCTCCACCCCTGCCTGGTCACAGCTCCAGGAACCTGAAGTCAACTGGGTCATGATGTCACTTGCCATGCAGTTGACTTCGGATAGCGAAAGACATGTGACTTGGCAGGGACCCTTGGAGCCTCCGGAGACTGGCATTCACTGAAGGCTGATTCCCACAAACAGCCCCACCCAGCCACACTCCCCTGTGTGTTCGTGCCCTCTCGCTGCCCTGCTTCACCCTCCCCTCTATCGCCTCTCTTTCCCTTAAGGTGCTCTTTCTATGCATCCTGCCAGCCAGGTCTTCCTTGCTCCCTCATCCCAAAGCCCTGAGCATCCTTTTCCACTTTCTCTTTGCAATGAGCCTGTCTGCTGCCCCTTCTGGACCACTTTATTGACTCCACGAATACGCACTGGGGGTCTGCTGTGTCTCTGAAAAGCGAATGAAGAAGAAAGCTATTAAAAAAAAAAACGAAGAAGAAGGCACAGCCCTTTGGGCCCTAGGACTTACGACAAAAATATACATAGAAGCAAGCTCAGAATACAACTGTCGTTTACTGTCCTGTGAACCTATTTTATAATTCCATCACCTGAACGGACCCATTTAACCCTCACGAAGTTCCCTGGAGACAGACCACCCCCGTCTTACTGAGGTGGGGACACACAAGATGACATCCCCAAATGTGAATAGCGAATAGAGGCTACAGTCGATTTCATCCAAGCCCTGTGACTCCACCTGCCTCCTAATGTGCTCAGGTGCCCTCAGGCATCAAGGAGGCAGCTTGTAGATTTTGTATAAAGAAGTCAGGGAAGGTGTTACGGAGGAGGAGACTTTGAACTGAGTTTTGACAGATGAGTAGAAGTGTGCAGAGGGCAAGAGAACAGGAAAGACACTCCGGTAAGGAAGCTAAGCACGGCATGAAATGATACCTCCCAGGAGGTTGGCTTGCCAGGGCAAGAAAACATGGAGACCAGGAGGCTGGAGCAGGTGAAGGCCCAGGGACACAGGCCCTGTGTATCTGACAGGTGCTACAGTCTGGTCCTAAAGGTCATGGAGAGCCTTTAGGGAACTTTGAGCTGGGCAAAGACCCTCCTTCCTTCCCTTCCTCACGCTGCTAAGCCACCTGGACACTAGGACTGCATTCATGAAGCCCTGAACCCTGTGTGCTGGCCCCCTGCCCGACCCACCCAGCCTCCCTGCATCCTTCCATCTCCCAGCCCTTCCCCCTCACTGAGCCTCTGCACTCTGTGTTCCACAGGGGCCGTGAGGGCCTCGAGTATCTTCCCGATCCTGAGTGTGATCCTGCTCTTCATGGGTGGCCTCTGCATCGCAGCAAGCGAGTTTTACAAGACGCGCCACAACATCATCCTGAGCGCTGGCATCTTCTTCGTGTCTGCAGGTAAGGCAGGGATGGGCCTCGAGAGAATGGGGGTGGGGAATCTCCTGCTCCGGCTACAGGCTGTGTCCCAGGGGAAGGCTGAGCTGAGGCTCCGGTGCATAGACCCCGTTCCCATGCCCAGTGCCCCATCTTCCTCCCACCACTTGAGGAAAAGGCTGACGTCCCGGTAACTTTGAGGGCACTAGGCCACCCCACGTGCCCTCTGTCCTCCCAGCACAAGCAAACTGAGAAAGAGGCAGAAAAAGAAGCACCAAGGGACCCACCCTTCCCCAATCTGTCCCACATGATACCCAGCTGCACCCTGGAAGCCAAGGAAGACTGACACCCCCCCCCCACCCCCTGCACCGTCCCCATCAGTTGAGCAGACAGGCCCCACAGCCAACTATCTCAGCTGTCACATGACCTATCACAAGGGCTTCAGATGCCCAAGGAACACGAACTGTATCATAAGCCATTTAATAAGCCTGGTTGCCACCTAAGAGCACACTGACCGTATCCCAGGTGCATTCACTCTCAAGAACATTCACCGGGGTCTTGCAGGAGTAAGGGAGTAAGGCCTTGCCTTAGCCCCAGTTTGCCGATTGGAAAACTCAGACTATGGCCACTGTGGCCAAAGGCTTCGGGCCCCCTTGCCATTCCAGCTGAGGATTGAGCACGGTGTTTAAGTCCTCTGTGCTCTATTTCCCCGTCTGCAGCCTGTTTATGGAGCGCTGGATAGGGAAAGCGGTTGTGAGTGCTCAGTTAACGGTATCTATTGCTATCACTACCCCATGCTTCACAGGACACCTCTGTCTGCCCATGTTTGCTGACACTGGCCCCTCCCCTTGTGACTTTATGAACCATCGGCATGATAAGATGTTAAAGCCGGGCCAGCAAGATGGCTCAGAGGGTAAAGAATCTTTCCATCAAGTCTTAGGGCCCGAGTTTCATTCCTGGGACTCACACAATAAAAGGAGAGAACCAATTCCCAAAAGGTATCTGACCTCCACACCCAATCCTCGGTTCACTCGTACCCAAATAAATAAGAAATAAACAAAGTTTACAACTTGAGACAGCCAGGGCAGTGGTGGCTCACGCCTTTAATCCCAGCACTCCCAGCACTCCGGAGGCAGAGGCAGGTGGATCTCTGTGAGTTCAAGGGCAGCCTGGGCTACAGAGTGAGTTCCAGGAAAGGCTCCAAAGCTACACAAAGAAACCCTGTCTCCAAAAAAAAAAAAAAAAAGAAAAGAAAAGAAAGAAAAGAAAACTTGAGATAGTAATAGGAAGCTTCAGGTCTACCCTTCCATGTCCATCAATTCATGGAAACGCAAGATCAAGCCCCACCCCACGCCTCTCCCCGCCTCCCCAAACACACACACACACACCCCAGCATCTCAAGCTCCTCTCTCTGACCCCCCCCCCACCCCTCTTCCGCTGCAGGTCTGAGTAACATCATCGGGATCATCGTGTATATATCAGCCAATGCTGGAGACCCCTCCAAGAGTGACTCCAAAAAGAACAGCTACTCCTACGGCTGGTCCTTCTACTTCGGGGCCCTGTCCTTCATCATCGCCGAGATGGTCGGGGTGCTGGCCGTGCACATGTTTATCGACCGCCACAAACAGCTGCGGGCCACGGCCCGTGCCACCGACTACCTCCAGGCCTCCGCCATCACCCGCATCCCTAGCTACCGCTACCGCTACCAGCGCCGCAGCCGCTCCAGCTCCCGCTCCACCGAGCCCTCTCACTCCAGGGACGCCTCGCCCGTGGGCGTGAAGGGCTTCAACACCCTGCCGTCCACGGAGATCTCCATGTACACCCTCAGTAGGGACCCCCTGAAGGCTGCCACCACACCCACCGCCACCTACAACTCGGACAGGGATAACAGCTTTCTCCAGGTCCACAACTGTATCCAGAAGGACAGCAAGGACTCTCTCCACGCCAACACAGCCAACCGCCGGACCACGCCCGTATGAAGACCGTGGAACCGGGGGGACCTGGGAGGCTTGGCCCGCGGGCGGGGGAGGGACCGCAGCAGCCACGGGGGAGACCTTCCACACGCAAAAACAAACAAAAACAAGCAAACAAACAAACAAAACAAAAAAACAAAAAAAAGAGAAAAACATAGCAAGCAAATTATTTAAAAAAAAAAAAGAACAAAATACAAGAGGAACAAAATCAAAACCACAGGCTATGCGGGGGAGGGAAATATAACCGAGGGAAGACAAACTTTAAACAAAGCAAGAGGGATAAAATTAAAATAGAAAATAAATCTAAAAGAAAATGCATGATTTCCCATGTACCATTATTTTAACATTTAATAAAAACCAATTTAAATGAAAAAAAATAAAAGGGAATCAAGATAAAGTAAAGCAAAAAAAAAAAGACAAAAAAACAAAAAAAAATGAAGAAAGCAAGAGAGTATTTATTAGGGTTTTATGTTGCCTTTGTTTTTGTTCTTGTTTTGTTTTAAACTGCAGGGAGAGTTTAAAAATATAAACACATTCTTTTCCCTTTAACCCCAGAGGGTCCTGCCTCCCGGGGAGAGTAAGGGTAGAGACTCAGGGCCCCCAGGGCCAGGGGAGCAATGGTCACTGCCAAGCCCCTGGATCCCTGGCTGGGCCCTGGGATGCTGGGCAAGTTCAATGGCTCTGCAGCCAGCTCTACCCAGCACCAAGGGGGCAGTTGCAGGCCTCCGGGTGACCCAAGCCCTTGGTCCGCCCCTGTCCGTTAGGTGCCTGGAGGTGGTGCACTTGGGGCCACCCAGCCCCAGGTTCCCAGTCCTTAATGGTCCTTAACCCACTGTGATGACTTCCTAGGCCTTGGGGAAAGAGGAGGAGAAGGGATGTCTGTGGGAGGCTCCCGGAGAAGCCGGATCCCTGGAATCCTCAGGGGGGAGCTTTTGGGGGTCAGTAACTTGAGCTCCTGTCCTCCGAGGCAGGAGACGCCCACCCCCAAAGGATATAGAGCAGCCATCCCTTCTCGCCCCTCACCCCAGGGCCACTCGATGACCCTGGGGCGATGGTGGACCCCCACACTCACAGGCCCCCAGCCCCCTGGGAAGGGGGCTCTTTGACCCTTTGGGGGGTCTGTGGACTCACTGATGCCCCTCTGGGGGCTCAGTGAGTCCAACAATGACATTGCAAAAAGGTTTCTTTTTACAAAAGAAAAAGGAAAAAACAAGTGGTGATTTTTTTTTTAATAAAAAAACCACAGACTATAAATAAATGTAAATATATAATAAGTGAATTTACTTGCAAGAAAATCAAGTAGTATTTTTTTCTTTTAATTCTTTTTCCAGCTTTAAACTGTGAAAACAAAAATCGGGGTAGGGTGGGGGACTTAAAATTTAGCAGGGAACTTGTAAAGTCAAAACAGAAAACAAATATAGAAATCCATTAAAACAAACAAATAAAACCCATTGGGAGAGATGTGAGCTGGGCACAGAGCCAGAGAGAAAGGAGAAAGGGCCTACCATCTTCCTGGGGACTGCAGAAGAGGTCTCTTCTTGCCTGCAGGGAGGTGTGGCTGATGGAGAGAGGAGACACCACTACCACTCCCCTGCTTCCACCCACAGTCACTGTCCCCTGGCTCAGTGCTGCCCCAACTACTCATGTTCACACTCAATGAAAACCCTTCCCATCCAACACACAGTCAGGGGTGTGGCTCGAGGCAGCTGACCTATGCCCTCCAAAGCCATGGAAACCAGCCCAACAACTCCATCACTAGCCTCTGTGCTCCTGTGCGCCCCACACTGTACCTTGCATACACACTCCAACACATGAACATGCCACATTCTCGTACATAGAAGGGCTTCCATCTGTATTCCAGACTTCATTGCTGTGTGGCCTCTCGGGGCCTTGGTGTCTCACTGTCAGCTCATGCACAGACTGGCTTGAACTCCAAAGGCCCATTCTTAGTTTGCATGTGACTTCTAAGATCTGCCACTAGCCCAATCCAGTGGAAAATGACCAGGAGCAACCAAAGCACTTCTGATGACATTGAGAGCATTCCTAAATCTCTCTCAATCTCTCTCTCTCTCTCTCTCTCTCTCTCTCTCTCTCTCTCTCTCTCTCTCTCTCTCTCTCACACACACACACACACACACCATGTGCCTCCTCACTGTGTTCCCCAGCCCCCACCCCCACATCCAGTGTCAAAGCAAAAATTCACATATGTGAGCAACCTATCCTGCCATGAAGACAGAGGGAGACACACTGTCCCCAAAGTTCCTCATTCACCTTCCTTTTTTGAATGTTATAACCCCAGTCGTAGTGAGTGGGGGAGGCTTCTTTGAAAGATGGGTCCCCTGCTGTCTTTGGGGGTCAGTGAAAAAGCGGGTCTCCTGGGGTGAAAGATCTCCCTGTATGGAAATTGTTTGCAGAACATTCTCCCAGGCAAATGTCAGCCCAGTTAGGCTTGCACTCCAGAGTGAATTGAGGGAGCACTCAAGTTTCCCCTTCTCCTTCCCCAAGTGGCAAGGGCCAGATCAGACAATGAGAACCAGGCTAACCATTTCCTAGCAGCCCCAGTGAGAGGCTACCCCCCACCCCGAGTGAGAGTCCTGCTCCTCCAGGATCAACCAGCTTCCTGCTTGTCTTTGCTATGCTGACACGAGCCTGCTCTGAGTGTTCTCTGATAGAACTCTCTGGAATTGGAGGGCATGCTGAGGAAGGCTTCTATAGCTTCCTGTCTTGTGTCTGGAAGAGGAACATTCTCCTCTCAGGTCCACACAAGGCAGACCACCTGCTAGTCCAGCCCAGAAGTTCAGGGGAGGCCTCGGGCCCATGGCTCAGATCTGTGGGCCTGTTAACATGCAGGGAGGTCAGAGCACCTTCCAAACTGGGCAAAAACAGCACCTTATCCCTCCTCACTCAGCCCTGCCCAAGCCCCAGCAAATTCCAAACCACCCCAGATCAAGGCCTAGAGACACAGGAGAAGGCCACACAAGTAAGCACCTCTCTGTGGAGGAACTGTGGCCCCAGCTTCCTGAGCTCTGGCCAAGTATTTGAGCAGCAACTGGACTTCTTCCCAGGCAGTGAGACCTGGGGTCAGGCCACCCAAAGACTTGTGGGTGAGAGGTGACATCAGCTTGGCTGACCAAGAAAGGGCTAGGGGGCCTGGAGGGAAGGGACAATGCTTCCTGTGATGACTGACAGCTCATGCCCAGCTCTGCTCAATTCAAGAAACCAATTTCCATTTTATTTTCTTGGTGGGTCCTTTTATTTTTTTTTTCCAGACTGTTAACAGAAAAAAAAAATTTTAAAAAGAAGAAACCTAAAAACAAAACGAAATGACAAAAAAACAAAAAATCCTGGTACATGAAATAAAGATTTTTTTTATAGCTTGGTCCTCATGTCCATGAATTCCTTTAACTCCTCGCACCATACTTAAAGCAGTCCTCAGAGTGGCTATGAACTTTCAGAGTTGAGGGGCGGTGGACTTAGATGACATGCAGTAGGGGGTCCCAACTTCCAAAGTCAGGAATCCCCTCTCCTCAGCATTCCTTAGTGACAATTCATGCCTCCTGTGATAGCACCCCCGCCCCCCAAAGGTGGCGGAGGCCAGTGCTAAGCAGCTCTCTGGCCAAGTCCCTGCTGTCACTGTCCATCCATTCCCTTCATGCTCCAGCCACACTGGTCCTTTCCAACGTGACTGTGCCCTATCTTTAAAAGCAGAGCTTATACCATCTTTGAGCTCTCCCCTCTTAACAAGCCAAGTTGGTTTCTAGTGGAGCCATTAGCTTGCCAGCCAGAGCTCCAGCTACCTCACCGACAGCCATCATCACCAGAGACACAGGAACACTCCTTTGTTAAAACGGGTGGCACTCGCCGGCCTGTTTTATTAGTATCATTGGAAGGGGGCAAGCACGCACACCCTAAGCCCAGCTTTTACATGGGGATTCAAACTCGGGTCTTCGTGTTTGTGTGGCCAGTGTCTTACCCACGGAGCCATCTCTCAAGCCCGACCTGGTTATTTTAATAGGATCATTTAGAAAGCCAAGATGAGGCAGAGGAAGGGGATAGAAGTCACTGTAGACAAGCCACAGGACATCACCCAGCTCTGGGGACTATAGGGTGCCAGATGCTATGGTCCCAATGCTGACATGAACGGGGTGGCTGACTGTGGCTGACTGTGCCTGGAGTACCAGGAGGTCTTTGTGAGGCAAGCTACTGTCTAATGTTAGAGGAGAGAGCTGAGCCAGCATCCAGCTCCCAGGACTAGAGAGGAAGAGGATGAAATGGGAGCCACACCAATCCAAGTGGAGCAAAGGTCCCACACCCAGAGGCCCAGAAAGGTCCATAGGAAGAGCTACGGTTCAGAATGGCCTGCTCAATTCAGCCCCTAGGGCACACATTGTCAAGCCCCACCCCCATAAATCCCGGGCTCTTTGAGGTTCACCCTGAATGAGCATGGGACCCAAGGCAAGCTCACCAAAGAAGGTTCAGGGATCGGGGTTGGGGATTTAGCTCAGCGGTAGAGCGCTTGCCTAGCAAGCGCAAGGCCCTGGGTTCGGTCCTCAGCTCCAGAAAAAAAAAAAAAAAAAGGTTCAGGGATCATCATAAGCCAAATGCCAATAGCTACAAATCAAACTGAGAACCTGGCAACATGTTCTCTCTTGTCCTGACCACACATCTTCGAGGCAAGGGGAACTCAAGGTTCATTTGGAGAATTCTTAACACTGCCTGGTCCTGTGCCTCAGTAACAGCAGGGGTAGTCCTGAGCCTGGCTTCTCCACCCCCAGTCTGCCCCTCCCTCCAGTTCCCCACTCCACCCAACAGGAGCAGGAGACCTCCCACTGAGGGACACTCTCTCAGCCTCCTCAGAACAGCCCCTTCTAAAACAGCTCACCTTTTGGAGTACACATAGAAACCGGTTCCACAAGCCCTTTCAGGCAGGAATTCAGAGAGCTAGGCTCCAAAGTGGAGCCTAGAACATGGTGGGGCCTGGGGCAAGAGCATCTCCTTGGCCAGAAGTCTGTCCTCTTCTGCTCTAGACTGGGCTAAAGCAGTCCCTGAGGGCCAGCCAAGGCCCCAGCAGGGCTCCTGACTACCTAGTGTTAGCTGAGCCTCACCATGTTTTATAAGACACTCACTCTCCTGTGGCCCAGGCTGGCCTTGAACACCCTATGTAACCGAGGATCGCCTTGAACGTTTGATCTTCCTGCCTGCCTCCCAAGTGTACCACCACGGTGCTTATGGTTTGAGAACTGGAGCAGGGGATTCACAAAGCATGCTAGGCAGGAACTCCACTGATGCAAACTACATTACTGTGGGATGTTCTGTATGGCAAATGTGTTGCTGATTGGTCAATAAATAAATCACTGATTGGCCAGTGACCAGGCAGGAAGTGTAGGCGGGACAAGGAGGAGAATAAAGCTGGGAAGTGGAAGGTTGAGTCAGAGAGACGCTGCCAGCCGCCATGATGACAAACAGCATGTGAAGATGCCGGTAAGCCACGAGCCACGTGGCAAGGTATAGATTAATGGAAATGGATTAATTTAAGCTGTAAGAACAGTTAGCAAGAAGCCTGCCACGGCCATACAGTTTGTAACCAGTATAAGTCTCTGTGTTTACTTGGTTGGGTCTGAGTGGCTGTGGGACTGGCAGGTGAGAGAGATTTGTCCTGACTGTGGGCCAGGCAGGAAAACTCAAGCTACACGACATCCCCAACCTCCCTATGGCTTTGGAACAGAGAGCCCAACACTACTAACCCAGCCTCAGGACTCTGGCTCCAGAAGGTCCAGTCAAGGGCTATAGAAATTTCTGGAAAGTCCTGTCTCTTGTTGATGAAGGCCCCAGTTGGAGGCCAGAGAGAGAAGGTCAAGTGTCCAGCAAACTGGCTTTAAGCAGCCTAGGGCCCCAGCTTCTTGCCCCCTCAACCCTACCCACTATCCCACAGATAGAGGTCTGAGGTACACCTCCCTCCTCCTTCATCCCCACACCAAGCTGGTTCCTTTTCTGCACCCTTCCAGCCACCCAGCCACCATCTCTCAGCGCATCCATACAGTAAGGCAGAGAGTCGAGGCCAGCCTAACAAGGAGTATCAGTCTGGACCAACTTCCAAATGACAGGTAAAAAGCTGGCTGGTACACAGCCACCTCCCTCCTGTCCCACTAGCTCAGAGGTTCTGCATCTCCTGGCCAGCATGTAGACTTCTCTCTGCCAGCCACAGACAGGACTGAGCCCCGCCTACACTGGCCATGACAGATGCAAATCCAGTCCTCAGGTATTCAGCAGACTTACACAGCCCCTGTAGTCCAAACACGTACATCTCCTTCCCCTTCCCAGCTGAGAAGGTGCTACACACCCTTGGCGGCTTACTGTGACCCCATGGAAATGTTTACACCACAAAGGCCAAAGAGTAGAGTTGTTTTGTTTTTTAATGAAGAACCAGTTGTTAAACATTTACCTGAATATCACTGCCAAAATCCATAGGGGCGTGTTTGCCTCTGGGCTCAGTTGTATATGCCTTAGAGATACAACTATGCCCCCAAATCACATATACATGTGTGTGCATCCATGCCTGCAATGGTGCATGTACATCCTACACCTACACACACACATACATGCACACACACTTCTGGAATTTGATCCATTCACAGAAGCATGTTTGTTCAGACTGCAAGACTTGATCTCACTCCCACAGGAGCAGAAACTTACTGTGGCAAGGAAAGGAGGGAAGACTGGCATGGGACAGAGGGTGTGCCTGGCCCCCACTAGTGATTCCCTGCACTCCTCATCTCTGTGGCCCAGGTCACCTATACACTGATGTGTGGGGGCAGGCATGGAGACCTCACTATGTCACAGAGGTCGGGATCACAGGACACACACATACCATGCATCAAGGGTATGTGGCTATGTGTGTTGCGCTCCGTGTGTGCGTGTGCGTGTGCGTGCGTGCGTGCGTGCGTGTGTGTGTGTGACTCCTTCTCTTTCTCAGCCTCCCTCTCCTGTGTTACCCAGAAGGACAGAAAAGATACAGTAACACACATCAGTAGCACACATTGAAAGAGGATTTATTACATCAGCTTCCACGGCAGTCTGAGTAGTTCAACAATGGCTATCTTCACACTGGAGAGGCCAAGAAGCCAGTAAAAGGCCAGCTCACGAGGCTGGGTGCCCCAGTAGTCCCAAACTGATGATGAAGGCTTGGAGAATTCCTGGAGAGCTGCTGGTCTTCAGTCTACATTGGGCTGGGTGTTATGATACATGTCTTTAATCCCAGCACTCCAGGGGCAGGGGCAGGTGGATCTTGGTGGCTTCAAGACCAGCCTGGTCTACATAGAGAGCTCTGGCCCAGCCAGAGCTATACAGTGAGACTCTGTCTGAAAACAAAACCAAACCCACTTCTCATTCAGCCCATATTAGAAGTGGGAGGAAGCTGGGAACAGATGTAGAGCAGGCAGCTGTGACATGGTAGAGAAAATCAAGCTCGCAGCAAAACGCAAAGGCAAGGAGACAAAAAGCAAAGTTATTTCCCTCCTATGTCTGGGCTGCTGCATTTAGGGTGGATGTCTCTACTCAAATAACCCTCTGGAGAAGACCCCTCCAGATGGACCAGCAACGGATCTCTTAGTTGATTCCAACTCCAGTCAAGTGGACAACCAAGATCAGCTATCCTGCCCCCCCCCCCCCCCCCGCACACACACACACATCAGGGGTCTCCTGTGAATAGTCCCGGAGCTGAGATACAGGGTGTGAGGGTGTGATACACACAGCAGTATCAGGCCGATGGATGTGGTGATGAGGAGGGAGTGAACAGGGTGGGACTTGAATTAAACCATGGTTCCTTCTCACTCCAAAGCATTCAGCAGCTCCCCAGTGCCCAAGCAGTTCAGCCTTCGAAGCTTCCCCTAGCCACTCTACACTTGTTTCTTGTTTTTATCGGATCGAACCCAGAGCCTCATACATGCTAGGCAAGTGCTACATCCTCGGCCCATGTCAGGTTTCTTCTTCTTTTTTTTTTTTTTTTTTTTTTTTTTTTTTAATGCAACAGGATCTTCCTATATAGCTCAGGCTGGCTTTGAACCTGCCTTGTTTTCCTGCATGCTGAGACTGCAGTCATGTGATCCCATGTCCAGCCCTGCTACCTATTTTGTCCCAGTGAGCTGGGATTTACTGGAAGCTACAACATGCCAGGCGTTGTCAAACTACCTACTGTCACAGTTCTGGGAAGTGGACACTGGTATCCCCTTTGCAGAGATGAAAACTGAGTCCATAGGAAGCCAAGTGACAGGGTGGTTAAGGTGCATTCTGGAGCCCTCTGTCAAAGTTCAGACCAGGCCACTCCATATCTAAGCATGGTGGCACACATCTGCAATCCCGCACTCAGGAAGCCGAAGCAGGAGGATCAAGAATTTGATGCTGCCTGAACTGGTTCCGTAAGGATGAGAAAAAGATCCCCTCTTTGGATGGGAGGAGCGGCTTGCGTGTGAGACACAAAGAGAGTGAGTATTGGCTTCGAAGGGTCATCACCTCAGCTCTACAGGCAGAGCAGTCAGTGGGGTTGGGGAAACCCGTGGTGTGCTCTGAACTGCTGGCCATTCACTGAGAGTTGAAGGGTCAGGAGGACAATCCAGACCAAAGTAGGGTGTGGATGGTGTGGAGGATTCAAGACAGAGAAGGACATGGGCAGTAAGAGTGAGCGGTGTGCAAGCATCAGGACCCGAATCCTCAGCTCCCACAAAAAGGCTGGGTATAAGGACAAGAGAAGTGACTCAACAGCTAAGAGCACTGCTGCTACAGAGGACCAGAGTCCCAGCCCCAGTACCCACAGCAGCTGGCTCACAAGCAACTCTGAGTCCAGCTCCAGGACATCAGGCACTCTTCTGTCCTTCACAAGCACACTTATATGCCCAGACCCACAGACATACAAGCGCATGGACATATAACTGAACAGCTACATGTGGCCTCACATGCACCTATAAACCCTGTCACTAGGAGGGGTGTCGAGATGAGGATCACTGGGGTTTGCCAGTTGCCAGCCTAGCTCCAGGTCTGGTGAGAGACCCTGTCTCTGGGAAATAAGGCAGACAGAGATAGAGCGCAACACCCAACATCCTCCTCCGGCCTCCATACATGTACATGAGGGTGCACACTATCCCTCATACACACATGCACATGCACCATCCACACATACCATACACACACACATTCATGCACAATAAGTAAATAATATAACTAAACTTAAAAGAGCCGTTGCCCGCAACACCACAGAGAAAACCACCATGGAGCTTCCATGCAAGCTCAGCAAGCCAGAGGCAGAGCCAGACTTTGAGAGAGGGAAGGGCAGACACACTCCCATCCTGTCCCTGCAGCTCATAGTTTTGGTGAAGGCATTTCCTTGTGATTTATAATCGTCCATCTTCAGTTCAGCCTCTGCCCACTTCCCTCCTCTGTGAGTGGAACAGCTCACAGCAAAGGACACATAAATCATAAGGTAGAGAACACAAGCCGTCCAGAAGCAGGAAAGAAGCAACATGACAAAGGGCACACGCTTCCTAACGTGAGAGGCGAAAGGGGGAGAAGCATCATGACTTCTGCAGCGTTCACTGTCAAAGCTGACATCTCAGAGGTTTGGTTGAGCTTTCTGGGAAAAAGAGAAAACACAGAAAATAACCATTTTATTTTTATATGTATACAAGACCGTTTATGTAAAAGTTTCAACTTGTCATGAGGAAAACTATTCATGGTAACAAAAACCAAAACAAAGAAAGCCCAGAGAGGGCCCCAGATAGCCATCTGGATGGCTACCTCAGAGTCTTTGCATCTCAGAGAACTGAGTCCTCGAGAAGCAGCAATTTCTTGGCTTTTGAAAATGCAGGAAAGAATGGGAAATGGAGAAGAAATGTCTGTCTGCTATCCAACACACATACACATACAGAGAGAGAGAGAGAGAGAGAGAGAGAGAGAGAGAGAGAGAGAGAGAGAGAGACCCTGTGTGATGTCCGCACAGGACAGCCAGTCTGAGCCTTCCTTTCCTATGGTTCAACAATCCTCACACAGCATTAGGAGCCCGGATGCTCAGAGGAGACACCAAAAGTGAAAGAACATTCCCAGTTCAGTGCTTGGCACTGAGAACATGGCTCAGGGCATAAGAGACCTTACCCAGCATGCACAAGGCCCTGAACTTGATCTCCAGCACTATATGAACTGGACATGGTGCCACACATCTGTGATACCGATACCCAGACGTTCAAGTTTTATCTTCAGATATGTAGAGGGTTGGAGGCCAGCCTGGGCTATAGGAGACCCTATGAACAGGGGAGAAGGAAAGAGGGAGGGAATGAGGGAGAGAGGGTGGGCAACAGGGAAGGAGGGATACCATAGCACAACACTGCTGCACTGTCCCCTGCACCAGGCACAGACTGAACCACTTTAAGTGTCTGCCCTGACAGCAATGTTACACAATAGCTCTCAATACTGCTCCCATTTTTTAAATGGAGTTCAGAGAGGTTAGGCTACATGTCCGGGTCATACAGCAAGAGAATGGTGGCCCCGTAATGATAAGCCAGGCAGGCCACTGTCTCGGGAGCTTACGTCTTCACAGGACATCAGCCCTCATGGGTCAGAGGAGACCACACTTCTCCGGGAGTGGGCTCCTTGCCCTCTCGCTTGCCTTCGGCTCTCAAGTCATACCCACTCATCTCTGCTCACCTCTGCTTGACTTCGGCTCACAGCCCCTCCCCGCCTGGAGCCCAACTCCTGTTCTACTGGCTGCCCTCTCTCCTGCCTCAGCTATCTCCTACGGGGTTCATGAAGGCCAGTGCTCTTCCACAGGACAGCTCTTTCGAACCAAGGACTTCTGCTAAAGGGACCCGCAAATGGGTTAGCAGGGGTGTCGGTCAGAGACAGCTGTGGAGGATGGTGAGGTCTCTGCTCACTGGCCCCTGCACAGCACATGGTAAAGCCACTAATCCTAGGAACTCAATACAGGCAAAATGAATTAGTTGAACTGAACTGTGTTGAGTCTAACCAAACAATGTTGAATTGCAGGATGGATGGATGGATGAATGGATGGATGGGTGGGTGGGTGGATGGATGGTGAATGGACAGATGATGGACTGTGAGAGAAACAGATGGACCTACAGACGTCTGGGAGCAGATTTGATGGCCACACCTGCTAAGGAATTTGGTGACTGCAGGTACAGAGGTAAAGCTGCCTGAGACATTTGGGAACCAGGGCTTGTGGCTGGGAGATGTACTCACATTCCCTCTGGAGAAAGGCAGCGAGGGTACTTCCAAGTTGTGTGCTCAGTGGGAAGCTGAGGGGAAAGAGGGGTTAACAGCAGGACGGCTCCCCAGCCAGCTGTGCTCAGGGAGACATTGACAGATTACAGCGTGTCTTCGTACTAATAGCACTGCGGCATCCTCCTGCTGCCGCTCCAGCCAGCTCCAACCCCAGTGGATCAATACCAAGAGCCAGTGGGTGCAGAAGGGAGGGGCCTGGGGATCAGCTCATTGCCTGGAACTGGTGTTCCTTGGGACCAGGGCTCTGTCCCCTCTGCCTTGTGGTGCCGTCACAGTGCCCAGCAAGGAAATCTTCTCCAGAGGTCTGCTGGATAAAAGAGCCGACCTCCTGGCCAATGCGGAGACCTCACAAGGTTGTCTACATGGCACCTGTCTCCTTAGCCTCAGGCCTGCATCTCTCCAGCCCCCAGGAGGACCTTGCACCCCCCCCACACACACACACACCAGAAGCCAGAGCCGCTGGTTTAAATCACCATTTTGACTAAATTCCATCTCTTTTGCTTGTCCTTGGCCTTCTGCTTCCCAATCTCTTCCTCGTCGCCTGTTCCTGACCGTCCAGTAACCCAAGCCTCGCTTCTTCGTGTTGAGGCAGGTAACTGAGCCGAGACGCGAAGCCTCACCCTCTGAGTTCTTGTCTGCTGTAATCCTCAGGAGCATCCCTTAAGGGGCCTCTGCTACCCTCCTCTCAGAGACGAGGAGCTAGGGCTCAGAGAGTTCAAACAATATGCTCAGAGTCACCCAGAATCAGAGAAGGCTTGGACCCAACGGTTCTGCCTGCCGATCCCGAGTGCTGGGACTACGGGCACACGCCATCACACTCAGTTTTATGTGCTGCGGGGGATGGCTTTTCGCACATTTCGCACATGGCAAGTATGCTACCAACTGGGCTACAGCCCCTCCCATATCATCTTCCCAGCCTCGGATCTTTCCAGAAAGGACTTAATGGGTCTTCTACGGTTCCATACCCAAGGGAAGCAAAGGACTGGTTCCAGGCCACTAGACCCCAGGGACTGCCTAGATCTGGTATCCTCTCTTCTGCCACCAGATGGGCTCCTAAGCTGTATCACTCACGGGTAAAACCCAGGACTCACTGGAAACCAGAGAACCATTGGGCAAGGGCTGGGCCGTACCTCTGGTGTCAGGAAAAATAGGAGGACATTGGGGGAGCAATTTTTATCAAAAAAAGGAGAGGTGAGAATCAAGTGAAATAAAACATGTTACACTGTGGATGTGGTACCACACATCACATGTGGTATCGTGCGTGTATATATGTTTGTATGTGTGTTGCCCCCCCACACACTCTGTGTGTGTGTGTGTGTGTGTGTGTGTGTGTGTGTGTGCGCGCGCGTGTGTGTGATGCCTGGGGAGCCCCGGAAGTCTGTGGAAAGCAGTCCCTGACTGCAGTCCCTTTCAGCTCACAATTCAATCTTCCAAGTTCCCCTGTCCTGTCTCCCAGCCCCCAGCCCCCGCCTTCATGTATGGTACAGAGAAGAGCTGCAGGCTTCTGCATGGCCCTGACCTACACAGAAGCCTGGAGAGGGAAATGACCAGCTCAGACCTCCCATCATGCTCTAAGGCAGCCCTCCTGGTTCCTGAGCTCAGAGCACCAGAATGTAACCCAATGAGCTAGAACTGTTTCAGGTGTCCCCGTTAGACCCACACCACACCCAGCTGTCCTGGAAACTCCACAGAGGCCTCACCTCTGTCTCATCCCCATTCAGTACCTCCAGGCCCCATCAGAGTCCATTCCCACATCTCTACCCTATCAGCCACCAATGCCAGCCTACCATCAAATGCATGCATATGGATCCCCAAACATCCACGCCCCACCCCTGCCCTCCACCCCACCTCACTCCCAAGCTTTCTCCAATCAGAACTTTGTAATAGCACTCTCCAAAAAGTCAAGATGGAAACCCAACAGGCTCTTCCCCAAGGCCTGTCCAGGACTCATCACTCACTGTTCTCCTGTAACTTTCCTCCTCTTCTCCCAATAAAACTGCTGGAGGAGAGCACAAGAAAGGGTGCTAGTGTGAGGGGAAGGGGAAAGGATGGGGACACACACACACACACACATACACACACACACACACACACACACACACACACACACACACACACACACCAGAAAAATAACACCAAAGAAGAAAAAAGAAAGAGGTGGATGGGAAAAATGCCTAACATTTTCCATCTAATAGGCTCCATCCCCAGGATATCTATCTGTCTGTCTATCTATCTATCTATCTATCTATCTATCTATCATCTATCATCTGTTCTATCTATTCTATCATCTGTTCTATCTAGTCTATCTTCTATCTATCATCTGCTTTATCTATCTATTCTATCTATCACCTATTCTATCTATCTATCTATTCTATCTATCTTTCTATCTGATCTATCCATCCATCCATCTATCATCTATTCTATCTATCTATCTATCTATCTATCTATCTATCTATCTATCATCTATTCTATCTATCTATCTACCTATCTAATCTATCCATCCATCCATCCATCCATCTCTCCCTCTCACTGTCCCAACTACACCACCGCGAGCTTTACAACCTTGGACACCTTCCACCATCAGAGCCTCAGCTGGCCATCTACAAAGGGCGGTGGGACAGTATCCGCTTGCTGACCTTCAGATGTATGGTGGACATGCTTTGGCAGCGCTTTCCTGGGCACACACACGCTCTCCTCTCTGCCACCCTCAGGCACCTTTCTTCACCCGACGGCTCGCAAACAGGCCTCGCCCTTCCTCTGCGTGCTTCCCTCCTGCTCAGGCATTTAGACCCGCTTGTGAGAAGTCTGTCCCAAACTGTACTGTCAGTTACTTGTCCCCTGTGCAGGAAGCTGCGGAGCACTGGGCTCTGTTTACACCACTGGATTCCTACTGCTTAGTACGGAGCAAGCCCTGAGAGAATACTGGTTGCATGAATGAATGATTCATTCATTCATTCGTTCGTTCGTTCGTTCCTGGCCACTCCACCACTGGCCGCCTTCAGGGACCAAATTCCGGTGAGTCACCAATGCCCTATAAATGCCACATGGAGAACAGAATGACCTCCTCTTTGCAGTCTCTCCCCAGCTGCAGCCCAGAGGCTGCAGCTCCCAGCCAGCACACCCAAAGAGCCTTCCAGGCTGGCAGAGGCTGCACTGACCCGCCACACTGCAGCTCGGAAAGGCTGAGCACCTGGCAGGAAGCCCATACCTTCCCACCCCTGCCACAGAGGTCCTCCAAAGCCCTTGACCATGAACTGGGTTAGCAGTGGGAACAGTCCTTGTCCTGTGTCCTGAGGCACACATGGGCAGAAGTGTGGAGACACTCTGCCAGCCTGATTCATCTGCTGAGGACCATGTGCCCTCCACTCTGTGTTATCCTGTCACTTCTGTGTGCCTCAGTTTCCTCCTCAAAGAGCAGTCAGTGAAAAGAGCCGCGTCTAACAGACTTGAGCGGCATGGCAGATGGGAGCAGCTAAGCAGGCAATCTGATAAGGCAAGAAGCCCTGTATCAATGCTAATGCTATTGCTCATATTGAGATTATTTATATGTGTTAACACAGCAGTCATAAACAGCCAGTGACTCACTTTTAAAGGGTATCTGATGCACTGAATTGCAGCCCTGGAGCTGGCTGTGTTTTCCTGACTTGAGCAGCAGCGCCATCCTGTGGCCGCAGTGCAGAATACAAGAACCTTCTAATGGGCAGCGCTGAGGTACCTGGTAGGGAGAAGGCTACCGAGGTTCCATTAGAACAAACACCAAGTCAGTCTGACACCACAGAGTGAGGAGAGACCCCCTTCACCCCTGGAGATGGTTTTCGTCAGGATATAAGCAGGTATCATAGGCGTTTGAAGCAATATTGAGACCATTTCTCTACCTAGTTTAGGGGCAAAACAAGCACCCACGGGGCAGCCTGACCACATGCTCAGGTCTAGCCAGACCCTGCAGAAAATGCTATCCATTCTCCACCTAAGAAGACTTGAACTTGTCTCTGACATTTGGACACTGTGTGACCTTGAATACCATGACACTTGGCTCTTGATTTTTGTTGTTTTGTTTGTTTTTCTTTTTGAGACAGTCTCATACAGCCCAGGCTGACCTTGAACTCGGTATGTGGTTATCTTGAGCTTCTGATTCTCCTGCCTCCGTGCCCACTGCCCAAGTGCTGGAATTACAAGTGAGCATCATTGTGCTCGGCCTCCAGCTCTTACATCAAGCCCCACTGAAGAGGGGCTTGGTGGGCGTGTGACACAGAAGTAGAACACGCCTGTAGTCCTGACACCCGGGAGGCTGAGGCAGGAGGATCAATTCAAGCTGGAAGCTGGTGCGAACTACACAGTGAGATCCTATCTAAATACACAGACCAGAGAGTGGGCTATGGTTCACTTCCCTTGTGCACAGAGCCTTGCTTCTTCCCATCTCTCCCAGCACAGCTTTTGACCTTGGTGTCTCCTACAAGAGGGAGCCCTTGACCTCTGCACCCAGAGCCTTACTCACAGCTAAGCTTGGAGGATCAAACATGCTTTCCAAGGTCCAGGCCTAACAAAGGTGGTGTGCCCTAAGAGGGACCAGTCAGGCCGATGTGGGGATGGGGCCCTTTCAAGGCCTCTGTTAAACAGATGGCACCAAGTCTGCTAGAGAAGGTGGCTCTTTTCCAACTGTCAGAGTGACCCTCAAAAATCTAGTGTCCATAAGCCACTTTCTTGGTATTTGGCCCTTGTCCTATCAGAATGTCAGAATCCCAAGACCTATTGGCACAGGCAGACACCAGTTCAAAGAGAGGAAATGGCTAACCAGACGTCACATTGCCAGTGAATGACGGGCACAATCCTCAAGTCCAGGCCCCTAGACCTTCGAATCCCTAAGGAACCCAGAGCCAGGGAGGCAGGGCCCCAGCGGCTCCAGCACCAGCCTGTGCACAGAAGGCTGAGCAGCCACAAAAAAGCCACTGGCCTCAGCTCTGCATGCCGAGATCTGTGCCATCTCTGGCTTGGTGTCCTTGGTCCCTCTCCTTGGGCCATAAAGAGGAGGGTGTTCAGCTGCATCTGCAGGTTTTGTGGAGCAGCAGCTGTGGCTTTTCTCCCTTGAGGAGCTTTTCCCGACCGCCCTGGCTGAGTTACCATCCCTCTCACAGCGCCCACAGCATAGCACTCCAATCTATCTGCTAATCCCCCAGAGGGCCGGCCGGGGGAGAGCATGCGGGAATATGAGAAAGGCTGGGCCTGGAGTGATAGGGGGTGGCGGGGACTGCAGCAAATTTGTAAGCCCCAGGCTGAGGGGACAAGTCCTCTTCAGATGTCAGGAAGAGCGGAGCAGTCTGGCCAGATATTAAGGGAATCCCTATCAGGTAAGGTGGCGCATGCCTTTAATCCCAGCACTCAGGAGGCAGAGGCAGGAAGATCTCTGAGACCAGGCCAACTGGTCTACATAGTGAGTTCCAAGACATCCAGGGCTGTGTAGAGAGACCCTGTCTCCAAAACAAGTGAGAGAGAGAGAGAGAGAGACAGAGAGAGACAGAGAGAGAGAGAGAGACCCTAAATCTGGCTGTATGATTCAGAATTACAGAATTTAAATGTAAATTCAACATATATTTCATAGCTGGGAACATGACTTGGCAGTAGAGAATTCACCTCCCATGTACAAGACCCTGGGTTCAATCTCCTGTACCACAAAATAAACAAAGTTATAAAACATATTTCACTAAGTACCTTGTAAATGTCACATCCCAGCCCGACCACATCTCCTCCCTAGACTCTGGGCTGCTGGGGGCTTGAACTAAGTTACCAGTCACAGATGACCAATGACTGCTTTTAGAGCCTAGCCCCAGGCAAAGCTACCCAGGCTCCTGTCAGCCCATTGACCCGAACTCAAAGTCTGACTGCCAGACACCATCGTGAGCAGCCACCATCCTCTGACGCGATTCTCTACCCCTCCCTGAGCAAGAAGAACTGTGATTTCATGTGTTCCACAAACAAGGTTCTGAGGACTATGTCATCTGCCCAAGGTCACATGTCTACCGGAAACCTGGATCCAAAGTCAGTCTGACCCTTCACACATCTACCTGCACTACCTGCAGAGAAGACCCCTAAGCAAGCCTTGCAGTCACTCAGCCCCGGTGAAAAGACTCCGCACACACCCGTCAGGACAGTGGGAACCAGGTTCCAGATCACAACAGACGTAAGAGCAGCACAATGCTGCTCAAGGCAGGGCTGTGCTCAGAGGGGCCCCTCCCAACCCAACCCAACCCAGCCAGACGAAGCCAACAACAGTTCGTCTTTGGCCTCAGGACCCTGAACCCCATTTCCAACGGGGGAAAAAAAAACTGTGAAGTAGAGGAAGGAGCTAGGGGGAGGCCTGGTTATTGCTCACCCCGCTGAAACGAACTCTCGGTAAACTAGCTAAACGGCTCTAAAAGAGAAGGGGGTTCTATTTTGTCCCTTGTCGTCAGGGCTGCAAATCCTGATATATCTTGAGCAGAGCAGAGAAGTGGATGGCTCAGCACTTGGAGCGATGCCCACGAGGCAGGAAGTGGGGAGGATGGCTCAACAGGTGCCTCTCTATTCTGAGCACGGTCCTGTGATGGGTGAGTGTACATCCAGCTGAAATAAAAAATAACTTTCAATACCCGTCACCGGCACAACCGACCGACAGCCTCCCTCTCTTCTGAGGGCAAGGAGCTCGCTCCAAGGCTCAGATCCTTTTGGCTCGGCTACTTTGGCAGTTTTGCTGGGGTGGTCAGTCCCCCCTGGAGGCTGAGGTGGGCTGGTGAGCTGAAAGTTTCCCCTGGCGTGGATGCATCGTCCCAAAGAAAGGCTAAATGCTGCAGCTCTATGGAACGTCTGCCTGGGTACTGTGTCCTCAACCCTGAGTCTTCATCATCTGGAAGGACAGAATACTGAACGTGGCCTCAGAAGGACAGAAGTATATGGGGGAGGGAAGGAACAGAGTTTCTTAACTGAAGTCCTTGTGGTCCAATTTGCTTTAAAAATTTAAATTCATTCTTAAGGGGTGTGTGTGTGTGTGTGTGTGTGTGTGTGTGTGTGTGTGTGTGTACACGAAATACACATGTGGAGGTCAGAGGACAACTTGTTAGGAGTCAGATCTCTCCTTCCACCATATGGATTCTGGGGATCAAACTCAGGGTATCAGGCTTGGCAGCAATCATCTTAACCGACTAAGTCTTATAGTCAGCCCTAGATTGCTCAAATTCTTTGGATGGTGAACGTTTTCCAGTGGGCTGACAACACCATCTATGAATGCTCAGTGAGCCCCATGCAGACCTCCGTAAGCCTTGGGTCTTTTCTTCTGCAAACTATATAAACCGTCACAATCTGTGGGATTTGACATGGACTCTAACCACTGTCTACTTCATCTCAGGGCTGTAGCCAAATGCTTGCCCAGCCTTGTGAAGAACTCCTAGCTTCAGATTCTGGGAACGTTAAAGCTGCAAATGAGTAATGGCCTCAGTCCTAGTGTGTCCCATGTCTGTTCCTACTGTACCCTGACTAGCTGGTCTTGAGCAAGGACATTCTCTCTGAACCCCAGTTTTTTTTTTTCATTGAAAAATGACCCTGTGGTTTTAAGATGTGAAGAGGAGATGCAGGCTGGCTTCACTGGAGGTGGGTCTGCTCACATCAACAGTCCCACAACACGTTGGCGACTCCGTTGTAGACCCTGGCATCTGTCTGCATTTCAAGTCAAGCATAGAAGGCTGGCACATAAACAGAAGGTCTGTCAGTAACAAAGAAGAAACACAGCCACAGGCCAGCGGAGACACTGTCACCCTGACTAGTCCAAGAACCATGACACTCAAAGCGTCAGGAGGTTCCCCCAGACTCCCAGGGCTGATGAGGAAAGGGGTCAGATTGAGTGCTAGCGTTAGCTCAGGAAGTGGTTGTCCACAGACCAGCATGTGCCCTCAACCCCTGCAGAGGCACAGCCTTGCCCAGGAAACAATGATGCTGGAGCCATCAAAGCCCATATCCTAGACAATGGCAGCTGGCTCCATGACTGTCCCCTCCTATGTTCCTGCACTGAGGGACACCTCCACGCACATTGTATTGTTTTTCTCATTGTATTGTTGTCATGAAATACCTGACAACTTAAGGAAGGGAGAGTTTGGGTTTGGGTCACAGTTCCTGGGTGAACCACCGTGGAGTCCACCGTGGGGTGGGGGAGCCATGGTGGCAGGAGTTCGAGACAGCTCTCATATTACATCCACAACCAGAAAGCAGAGAGACATAAATGGTGACATTCAGCTCACTTTCTCCTTTTTATTGACACTAGGCCTCCAGCCTAAGGGAGGTGCCATAACCATTAGAGTGTCTTCCCATCTCAGTCACCCCAATCCAATAACCCCAACAGACACACCAGAGCATCCTGAGGCCCGAGATCCTGTCAAATTGACAATCAGCATGAACCATGACACATGATTTCTCTAAAGAGGGCACAAGCTAAGTGGCCTGAGCTCCCTGGATGAGCCCTGGTGTCCAGGCTCCTCCCCCAGGAGGAATTCCTGGTATCTGCTGTGTCCCAAACCACTCAGTCACACATCTACAGACAACCAAACTGACAATTCTTGGGAAAAAACCGAACTACATAACCCGAAGCAACACCTCCCGCTCCACCTGCCCTCCAGAGCCTTTTACCTTACCCAACATGACACCTTAGTCTCTTTTCCTGTGATAAAATGCTCTGGCAAAAGTAACTTCAGGGAGAAAGGGCTAACTTCGGCTCACAGTCCCGGTTATAGTCCATCATGCAGGGGAAGTCAAGGCCTCAGGAGCTTGAAAACAGCTGGGCACAGTGCATCTAAGGTCAGAAGAGAGCAGTGAACGCCCGTGTTAATGCTCAGTGCTCTTTCTCTGTCTCCTACAGTCCAGGATACTCAGCCCAGGGGTCAGTGCCACTCACAATTAAGATGGGCCTTTCCACAGCAATTAGTAGAATCCAGATAACCCAGGGGAGTGTCAGAGTTCATCTCCCCGGTGACTGGAGATTCTGTCGCACTGACAATGTTAAACTAAGCATTACACCACTGATCTTCATTCCTTTCCTTTGACTCTGGAAAAGCTTTTGACTCACATGTGAACTCAAGAAGCTGGGAAACTACAGAGGCTACGTGGCCGGGAGAGGGTGATGTGGCTTCTGGCTCTGACATCACCAATGTCCACATGAGTGAGTGGTCTAACCACCCAGGACGCCATGTTAAAGAAGCCCCAACTCCCCACATGGAGTCAACACACACAGGCAGACTCAAGACTAAGTGGAGAGAGAAGCATCCATTATCTGCCGGCTGTGCCAACTCCATCAAATCTAACCCAGCCGCACCAGAGACCCCAGGCCAGAGCCTAGCAGCCAGCCTTCCCCAGGCCCTAACCCACAGGAACTGAAAGACCTGGACAGGCTTGCTGCTGTTTTAGTGACTAGATTTGGGGATGGTTTGTTGCACAGTGTAAATGTCTCCATTCTGTGACCAAAATCCTAACAGAAACAATGGAAAGGAGGATCTGGGGTCATGGTTTAGGAGGTGTGGTGGAACAGCCCCATCCTCACGTGGAGGCAGGAGTGTGAGGCAGTGGCTAGTCACATGACTGCAGACCAGGAGGCAGTGTGAGCCAGCCAGAGAAGGGGAGGATCCGACCTTCAAAGGTCCACCCTCTGTGACCAACACCCCTCAGATTCTACTTCCTAATGGGTCCACAGCCTCCCAAAATAGTTGACTAGCATCCAAGACACGAGCCTGTGGAGGGCAGTTCAGGTTCACACACTCACACACAACAGATAACAGAGCCTAGGGTGACCACGTGCTGGGAGAATTTCCTCCATGGGGAGACAGAGGCAAATATCTACCCCCTCCTTCCAATGCCTCAATAACAAACAAAGTATAAATCCACCAAAGTCCACCCCGAGGAACCAATGAGTTTATTGGGCTTTCTTACAGAGCATGGAAATAGTAACCACTTACAGAACCAACCCCAAAGTGGCCACACCAGCAGGGATGACAATGACCCTATTGCTGCATAGATGGTGCCCGACCCACCCCTTTATCAACCTTCCACAGTCTATACAATCTAGCACCACCTGAGTCCGTGGAGCCACCGGCAGTTAGGACAGAATCACCTAGTGTCCAGGTATAGGAGGAGCAGCTGGTCTCTCAGGTGACGGTCCCACGACCCTCCCCATCGCCTCCTCCACAGTTAACAGCCAGGACATCGGGGGTCTCTTACAAGTAGTCACAGCTGCTCTGCTGCTCAGAAAAGAGCACTCTACACACCACATCCCACCACTGACATCTCCTCAACATGTTCTCATTTGGGTGATGCATTATATGGTCACCCTTCATTAGGCCAAGCCATTCCCCTCACAGCCCTGAATGATAGGATACATGACACACCTTGAACACAGAGTTCGAGAAACTGATGCTCTCGGGCCTGCCTCTGTGGTAAGTCCATGTGGGGATCCTGGGCTTCCTCATAACACGGCAGCTTTGAATGGTCAGATCACTCCTGTAGGTACCAGCAACTTCAGAGCTGGAGAGTGTATCACCCACTCTCTGCCATGGAGCCTCAGAAGTCTGTCAGCATTCTGCTAAATCCAAAAAACGAGTTCTGGTTTCTTTTTTTTTTTTTTTTTTTTTTTTTTTTTTTTTTTGGTTTTTCGAGACAGGGTTTCTCTGTGTAGCTTTGCGCCTTTCCTGGAACTCACTTGGTAGCCCAGGCTGGCCTCGAACTCACAGAGATCCGCCTGGCTCTGCCTCCCGAGTGCTAGGATTAAAGGCGTGCACCACCACCGCCCGGCAAGTTCTGGTTTCTTGAACCCTGGATGTGAGGCAGGAGGGAGCAAGAGGGAGGAGGGTGGTGAGAAAGGGCAATGGGGATGGAGATGATCAATGCACGCTCATGGGGATGTGTGAAAATGTCAGAACAAAAACCATAATCAGGCTGGACGGTGGTGGCACACACCTTTAATCCCTGCACTCAGGAGGCAGAGCCAGGCGGATCTCTTTGAGTTCGAGGCCAGCCTGGTCTATAGAGCGAGATCTGGAACAGGCACCAAAAACTACACAGAGAAACCCTGTCTCAAAAAAAAAAAAAAAAAGAAAGAAAAGAAAAGAAAAGAAAAAAAACAACAAAAAAAAGAACAAAAAACATAATTAGGCAAATAATATGCACCAGTTAAAATCTGAAATAAAAATTTCAAAGCAAGAATCCCCTTCTGTCATCTCTGCACTCTGAAGTCTGGGGCAAGAAGATTACAAGTTCAAGGCCAGCCTAAACCTCAGGAGTTGACTCAGCCCCTAAAAGTGTTCAGAATGTCTTTTTCCACTCACCACACATACATGACACCAATGGGACACTCCCACACAAACCCAGAGTGCCCTCCCTTTGAATTGCAGTCCCTGAGCCCAGTCCATAGGAAAACATTGGAATTTCTGCTGACACTCACAGTAAAGCGTCTGTGAGAGAGGGAGAGAAGGAGAGACAGAAGACACAGACAGAGAACCATGCCACCCAGGGACGGCCTCCTCCACCTTTAAAGTCCATAAAACTGCTATCTAAGCCGGGCATAGTGGCGCACACCTTTAATCCCAGTACTTCCAAAGCAGAGGCAGGTGGATCTCTATGAGTTCAACGTCAGCCTGGTCTACAGAGTGAGTTCCAGGACAGCCAGAACTACACAAAGAAACCCTGTCTCAAAAAAACAAAAGACAAACAAACAAATCTGCCATCTAATCCTGCCTCTGCTGCCTGCTCAGTGAGCCATCTACCCAAATGCCCCGAGTCTCCTTCCCCCTAACATTAATAGGAAACTTGCCCATCTTATACAACTGTCCTTTTTTTTTTTTAAAAAAAAAAAAAAAAAAAAAAAAGGGCTGGAGAGATGGCTCAGAGGTTAAGAGCACTGCTTGTTCTTCCAAAGGTCCTGAGTTCAATTCCCAGCAACCACATGGTGGCTCACAACCATCTGTAATGAGATCTGGCGCCCTCTTCTGGCCTGCAGGGATATGTTCAGGCAGAACTGTATACATAATAAATAAATCTTTAAAAAAAAAAAAAAAAAAAAAAAAGTCATTCATGGAAAGCACCTAGCATGTTGCCTGGCATAGTCAGCACTCAGTAACTGTTATATCACTCCTTAAGGCACTGTAGGTTCTCATTAGAACATGCACTTCTCTTATCTAGACAGATGTTTTATCAGAACAGGACAGTATAGCACAGGATGGGGCCTCTTGCTCTCAGATATGACTTGTGGGGACATGTAGGAGGGCCTGGCAGGCTCTTACGGTCACTTCCATCTACATGGGAGTTCTCTGAAACAAGAATCAGCTCTGTCCATCATTAAACACAAAGGATCCTGATGCAGGGGAAAGCTCTTAGTGATTCAGGAAGAGTTCCTCCTTGCCCGCTGCCTCTAGTCCTTTCATGCCTTTACTTAGTTGGCAAATCCTTATTAAGCACCCGCTCTGTGCCAAAGGCTCCCTGTGCTGCCAGAAACACGTGAATCGAGTAAGTACTCAGGTAACATGTCCTAGTTAGGGTTTCTATTGCTGTGAAGAGGCACCATGACCATGGCAACTCTTAAAAAGGAAAACATTTCATTGTGGTGGCTTGCTTACAGTTTCAAAGGCTTAGTCAGGAAGCAAGGCAGATGTGGTGCTAGAGAAGGAGCTGAGAGTTCTTACATCTTAACTCACAGGAAACAGGAAGTGGTCTGTCTCACTGGGTGTGGCTTGAGCATATAAATATGAGACCTCAAAGCCCACTTCCACAGTGACACACTTCCTCCAACAAGACCACACCTACACTAACAAGGCCACAACTCCTAATAATGCCACTCCCTTTGGGAGCCATTTTCTTTCAAACCACTACATAATACAAATGTCAAAATGTGGTGATATATTGTGTACCCTAATAAACTTGCCTGAGGATCAGAGGACAAAGCCTGCCACTAGATTAGACATAGAGGCCAGGTAGTGGTGGCACACACCCTTAATCCCAGCACTTGAGATCTTATGCCTTTGCTTGGGAAGCATACATGCCTTTAATCCCAGGAAGTAATGTGGCAGGGCAGAGAAAGGTACATAAGATGTGAGGAAACAGGAACTCACTCTCTTTAGGCTGAGGATTTCATAGAGGTAAGAACTAGTGGCTGGCTGTTCTGCTTCTCTGATCTGTCAGCTTTCACCCTGATATCTGGCTCTGGGTTTTTATTAAAAGACCATTTAAGATTCAAACAACATCAAAAAGAAAAGAGAGAAGGTACCTGCCTTGCTCACCTGTGTTCAACTCTTGGTCAAATGTCACTTTCTTTTAATGTGTATAGATGTTTTGCCTGCATGTATGTCCATGCATCACTTGCATGCCTGGTGTCCACAAAAGCCAGAAAAGGGGGCTGGAGAGATGGCTCAGAGGTTAAGAGCACTGGCTGTTCTTCCAGAGGTCCTGAGTTCAATTCCCAGCAACCACATGGTGGCTCACAGCCATTTACAATGAGATCTGGTGCCCTCTTCTGGCCTGCAGGCTGAACACTCACTGTATACATGATAAATAAATAAATCTTTAAAAAAAAAAAAAAAAAGCCAGAAAAGAGCATGTGGATCCCCTAGAACTGGTGTTACAGATGGTTGTGAGCCACCACGTGGGCACTAGGAACCAAACCTGGGTACTCAGTGCTCTAACTGCTGAGCCATCTCACCAGCCCCCAAATGTTACTTCTTAAGAGACACCTTTCCGTCTACCTCAGCCCCCCTCTCACATCACACTGAACACCCCAAGGGGATGGAGCACACACCTCTCAGTTGCTAGAAGAAACCCTGATGGAGTAGGTGGAGGTCTCTCACTAGCCATGTGAACTTGAGTTAGCATATGCACCTCTCTAAATTTCTTTTGGCCTGTGTAAAGTTGATATTGAAATACTGTAATCAGTGCTGGATGTGGTAGCACATGCCTTTGAACCTAGCACTGGGGAGAGGCAGGTAGATCTCTGTGAGGAGGCAATCTTGGTC